GATAAAATCCCTGTAAAATATTTGGTTGAAAATGTGTGGAAGTTTAAAGAGTCCTGTTCTAAGCAGCTGATCTGCAGATTTGACTCTGTTAACTTCTTTTATTCTACCTCCTCCTTCTTTTAGTCATCCAGTCTTTTTAAATTCTTTCTTCAGGTCCGTCTTCGTTTCAAGGAGATCCAGCGCAGCAAGGAGAAGCTCACCTCTCACGTGACCCGCGAGGAGTTCCAGGAGGCCTACTGCGAGCTTTGCACTCGACCCGACGTCTACTTCCTGCTGGTGCAGCTGTCCCAGGACCGCGAGTGCCTGGATCCTCAGGACCTCCGCCTTTTCTTGGAGACGGAGCAAGGTTTGTCTTTGGCGACGACCAAAGGCTGCTGGGAGCTCCTGAAGCGTTACGAGCCCTCAGCTCAGGGCAGGGAGCGAGGACTGATGGGTCTGGACGGGTTCGCTCGCTACCTTCAGTCTCCTGAGTGTCAGCTGCTCGACCAAGAGCACCTGGGAGTTTGCCAAGACATGAACCTGCCTCTGTCTCACTATTACATCAGGTGTGTTCCCTTTGCATCAAATAGAAACCTCTTGGAGATGCCTGTAGAATGAGCTGGATGGTCAACGTCCTGGTTAATGTGCAGACACAGTCAGACTGCCTGATCCTGATCATTGAGAACAATCTGATCATCTCTTGTGCACAGAGATCATTACACATTAGGTGATTACTGGTTTTTACTCATTTCTCAAATTAAACAAATCTAACCTCAGCTATTCACAAACACAAATGGGTTCCAGCTTCTCTTCATTCAAAGCCAAAATGGAAAAACTAGGTGAAACAATTAAGAACAACTACGTCCAGTCCTGCTGCTTTCTCAGGATTGACTGATCATCAGTGGGTCCGCCTCTATGGAAGCAGCAGGTTCTGCTGCACTGAAGCACAGCTGGACACTAACACGATGCCAAGGCAGAAAGACACAAGCAATGACCTTGGAGAGTCAGCTGTATCTGCCCATCAACCTGGGAGGGGTCAAAGGTCATTTCCAAACTTAGAGGCCTTCATTCTACAGAAAGATTATATATAAGTGAGAAAAGTGTACAGTTATAGAAGCCCTTTGTAAATTTTCCTTATGCGATTAAATTGAATTAAATTTCTAATTTGATGAAAAGTAATAATAATAATCATAATCATCATAATAAAGCAATAATAAACCAAATAAAAGAATCTTAAAGTTAATCTGGAAATGAACTGGGAGCCATTGTAGTGATTCTAGAACAGGGGTGATGAGTTCTCGTTTTCTGGTACCAGTTAACAGACGAGCAGCAGCGTTCTGAATGAGCTGGAGTCGAGTCAGTAACGTCTGGCTCTGACCCACATAAAGTGAATTACAGTAGTCCAGATGAGTTCTAATGAAAGCATGGATTAAAATCTCAAAGTGATACCATGAAATAAATGGTTTGATCTTGGCCAGTTGTCTCAAGTGATAAAAGCTGGACTTGATCACTGATTGAATCTGTGCATCAAGTTTAAAATCATTGTCCAGCCTCAAGTCCAGGTTAGTTGCTGTCTCGGTCAGATGTTGTGTTAAAGGACCCAGATCAGCATAGACTTTAGAACCATCACTGGGCTGAAACAACAAGACCTCTGTCTTTTTCTCATTAAAATGTAAAAAGTTCTGTGACATCCATGCTCTGACCTCCGCCATACATTCCAGGAGTTTGTTCACAGAGTACTGTTTGTCTTGTTTTAATGACACGTAAATTTGGCTGTCATCAGCATAAAAATGGAAAGCGACACCATGATTCTAGAGAATATATCCCAGAGGGAGTAAATAAAGGGAAAACAAAAGGGGGCCGAGTATATATCCCTGAGGTACTTCACATGTGAGAGGTGCTACAGAGGAGTCCACAGAATGAATATGCACACAAAAACTTCTCTCTGTTAACTAAGATCTAAACCACTGTAGAGCAGGACCCTGAATGCCCACCCAGTTCTCCAGGCGAGACAGGAGGATCTGATGGTCCACTGTGTCCAAGGCAGCTTAGGTCCAACAGCATCAAAACTTCACAATGACCAGAGTCCGTAGTTAAATTACGCTTCTCAATAAACACTGTGTATTTTGCATGAATTAGAAAACATCCATGTTTATGTGAATAACTACCAGGGCTTAAAGGTACCAATTCTCAAAAAACAGAACTGTGACATTTAAATATTTGGCCAGTGATGGACTTGGGTCCTGTCCAGGTGTCCCCCACCTCTCACACAGTGATAGCTGGATATGGGCACCAGTGACCCCCGCCACCTGAAAAGGAAGGAGCATGTAAAGATAATGGATGGATGGATGGATGGATGGATGGATGGATGGATGGATGGAATATTTGGTTGTGTTTAAGGAAAAGAAACGGAGGAAAATAATAAATTTCTTGTCCTGCTGTCGTCACAAAACAGCAGCTTTTTGTGAAAGTTACAAAGCAACGAATCTGTCCTCTGGTGTCAGACATTATTGTCGCCAAATGAACTGTTGGTGTGTAAAATCCATTTATCGCTGTAACTTCAGCTGGAGGTGAACCAACAGAACCCAGTTTGTACCGTGTCTGTTATTAAAACCTGTCCTCGTCTTGTTCGTTGTGGTTCAGGCGACCCCAGAAACCCGGGCCTCAGTCTGCAGCCGTGCAGAGAAGAGGACCTGAACCTTAGAAAAAAAGCAGCTTTGTAACTAGTCGTTGTGAGCGACAGTGTCTGACTTTTGCTTAAGTCGTCATTTGAACAAAGAATATAAGAAAACTGTTTAAATTTGAGTGTCTAAAATTGTAAGAAATTTGTTTCTGGTCCACAAATGATGTCTTCTACCGATCCATCAACGTTAAGTCAGGTCCTCTGGATGGTTTCTTCTTGTTGAAACGTTTCGTCTTTTATCCAGAAGACTTCATCAGTCCGAGGAGCCACAACAAGCTCAGTCTTATAAACAGCACCTTCACATAGTGGGTCAACCAGTTTGATGGGGCTCAGATGGTTTCTGGAGTCCGCCCTCTCCCCCATCGACTCGTTTGAGGCAGTCTATTGGATTTTTCTACCTGGATTATTGAGCAGGAATCAGGATGTTCTTCTACAGATGTTTTTGACATTATTTGAAACTGTAGTCCCGTTTGCCATGAACACTACATGAAACATGATAAATAGAAAACAAAGTTTAGGAATCATCCACTGTGGGTGTTTTAATGTAATTAAAATGGAAATAATTTGGTTTTATTTGTGACTGGTTGTTTGTCTTTGTCCTCAGCACCTCATACCGCTCCTACCTCCTGGATGACCAGGTCCACGGCAGGGCGGACCTCGGAGGGCTGATCAAGGCTCTACAGTCCGGCTGTCGATGTTTGGAGCTCGGAGTGACTGATGGCCCCGAGGGGGAGCCTTTGCTCGGGGTCGACCATGAACCAGACATCTCCCGCCATCATCATCATCACCACCACCACGCCCCTGTTACTATCCGTTCTGCATTGGAGGTGGTCAACAAATACGCCTTTCTGACGTCTCAGTACCCGCTCCTGCTGTACCTGTGTCAGCGCTGCTCTCCGGCTCAGCAGTGCACCATGGCGCACCACCTCAGGAAGGTGTTAGGATCTCGTCTTTACACACCAGAGGCACTGCCAGTGAGTCTGGGAGGGCGGGCCACAACCTTACCCTCGCCTGAGCAGCTGAAGGGACGGATCGTCATCGTGGGGAAGAAGCTCCCCCCGGAGCAGGAGGGTTCTGACGGGGAGGTGTCTGAGGAGGACGAGGAGATAGGTGGAGGAGGGCCTCTGGCTGGCAGAAGAATGACCATCCCCGGTGAGGAGGAACTCGGTTTGGTCCTAGTGGTGCCTCCTCCCTCTCAGCCCAGAAAGCTCCGTCTCCACAGAGAACTGTCGAACCTGGTGGCCATTGCTCGAACCGGAAGCCGCAGCTTCTATGCCCAGAGAAGCAGCTACAAGCAGGCTCAGCAGCAGTCGCCCCCCAGCAGCCCCTCCTCTCCAGGCTCACCGGTTCTTCCTGAGCTGCCTTACTGGACAATGTGCTCCCTGGGAGAAGGAGAGGCTGGGCGGCTGACCAGCGAGAGCCCAGAGGACCTCGTTATGTTCACCAAGCGCACCCTAACCAGGGTACGACCCAGCTCCGTACGTCTGGACTCCAGCAACCCCAACCCCCAAGGGTACTGGAAAGGAGGGGTCCAGCTCGTGGCCTTAAACCAGCAGACTCCAGGCGCCATGCTGGACCTCCATCGAGGCCGCTTCTCACAGAACGGGGGGTGTGGTTATGTCCTCCGACCGGCTGTGATGAGGGACGAGGTGTCGTATTTCAGTGCCCACACTCACGGCTGCGTGCCCGGAGTTCCACCACAAACTCTGCGCATTAAGGTCCACTTGCTGCTTTTTACCCTAAAGTTTACTTTTAAAACCTTTTTTCTCCACATATTTTTCTGCTGGTGTAGATTCTCAGTCATGCAGAACAGCTGAAGATGTTTTTGCTTCCTGTCCAGAGAGCTTTCGAGTTTAAAACTGGAGCATGTGAAGCTTTAAACTGCACGTGTTGCTCTGTTGTGCGAAAAGAATCAGCTGCAGATTAACCTCCATGCCATCCCTCCCGAGGGTCATTAGGGTCTTTGTTAGCTCGGCTCACAGAGAGAGTGAAACTGATGCTCTGCAGGTTTTAGAAAGCTCAAATCTGAGTCCTCCTCTTTGTTTTATGGCTGTTTTTTTTTTCTTCTATTTGATGTAAATGTCTTCTGTCACCTCCCGTTTAAACCACCTGAACCTGGTTCCCCTGTAATTCACAGCTTCATGCATGTGACTAAAGCAGGGGTGTTCAATACGTCGATAACTAATGGTCGATCTCCAAGGTATTATGAGTAGATCACGTTATTAAAAAACAGATGTCAGCCGATCATCATCTATGAAATTTGTCTCTTGATTGACAGACAGGGCAGCCAGTCTGAGGCCACGTTTACACGACATGAAACAATTGTTCATTTACAAAAAACAGCCTCATTCTCTCTGAAACTGAAGGTTTCTGAATCCAGGTCTGAGTGGAGGTTTTCTGGGCAACAACCCCACACAGGTGTGAAATCCTCCAAGTGTGAAGCTGCACATGCACACTCCAGGTGGCTGCAGTCCAAAGTTTCTCTGCTCTAACAACAGTTATAATAAATATTAGAACAGTTATAATAAATATAACAACAGTTATAATAAATATAACAATAGTTATAATAAATATAACAATAGTTATAATAAATATAACAACAGTTATAATAAATATAACA